TTTTTGAAAACGTTTGCACAGATGGGACGAGTTCATCATGATCTATTGGATCTACAAATTTCTGGGTGAACAAATTACATGACCAAAAAATACCATACAATACCATACAATACCACCCTGGTACGGGGTGGTATCTTGTGGTACACAATGATAAAAGTTGTAAATGACAGTTAATATACTTCTACTATCATGTATTCAACCATCCTACAGTCTTGGTTTGTTCATACCACCATGGTACGCTTTTCAAATCATAGGTATGCTGTTATTTCAATACCAGTCAAGACCATATGGTATAAACTGGTAAAAAATGGCTCAAATTTTTTGTTCGAAAAATATATCAAAGTGAATATCATTTTGAAGAGCACAATTAATCTGATCTAACTATGGAAAAAAAAATTGGACTTAAAACGAGTGAGAAATCGTCCGTCAAAGATTAAGGAGGGAAAAATTAAAGGCTTTCCAGGAGAGAGAGGATGCTGATGTCATGCTGATGTGGGCTGGTTACTCGTGGTTACTCACCATAAGGTTACTGACCTGATCCGTTCCTAGCAGAGGAGTTTTGAGAATGGAGACTTCTATATTGCCTTTTTCTTTGCTTCTTGCTTCTGCCATACACGAAGTGATCAAGCCTTTTTATAGGCTGTAGAAGGGAGCAGATTCGGTGAGTAAACTTGTGGTGAGTAACCCCATGCATAACCCAATAAGAATATGCCACATCAGTGCCTCCTTCTCTCTCCTGGAAAATCATTAATTTTCTTTCTCTTAATCTTTAACGGACGATTTCTCACTAGTTTTAACTCGGAATTTAATTTTTTTTGCACAGTTAGATCAGATTAATTGTGCTCTTCAAAATGATATCCACTTTGATATTTTTTGGAACAAAAATAATTTGCCAGTTATTACCAGTCAATACCATATGGTATTGATTGGTATTAAATACTAGCATACCATATGGTATGAAAAATACCACCTCATACTAGGGTGGTATAGTATGGTATGGAGTTAGTAACGATTCAAAATGATATCCACTTTGATATTTTTTGGAACAAAAAAAATTTGCCAGTTATTACCAGTCAATACCATATAACAGCATACCATATGGTATGAAAAATACCACCTCATACCAGGGTGGTATAGTATGGTATGGAGTTGGTAACGATGAAAATTTTTGGGGCTTGCTATTTGCCGCCAACCAAATTGCTATTTGCCGCCAACAAAAAAAAAGTATATATATGCATCTTTGGTTAAGGAGTTTCACAATCTACAACATATCCAACTTTCAGAGAACGTATTTAATCAGAAAAATTCAACGCTCGCCGGAAAAGTCGCCGGAAATCATCGATGAAAAAAAATGTATATATATACATCTTTGGTTAAGGAGTTTCACAATCTACAACATATCGAACTTTCAGAGAACGTATTGAATCAGAAAAATTCAACGCTCGCCGGAAAAGTCGTCGGAAAATCATCGGGAAAGCCTATCCTCGACATATAATGCGTACACGCATCATGAATCATCACTAACCATCAGACAATGTGGGCAAAGTGCTACACGAACCATGTGTTTCAAACCCTAAACCCTAAGTGAACCCTGAACCCTAAACCCTGAACCCTAAACCCTTTGTTGATGTGACTTGAATCGGACTATCAGCCGCTACGACTGGTAATCGGGGGTCTCGCTTCCCGGTCAGCGAGTGGGGTCCAGGGGCAACGCCCCGGTGGGGGTGCGGGGGCAACGCCCCCGACCCACGGTGTATGGGCTCAATGTTATTTGGGTTCGGGTTCTGGGCCTGGTCTGTAACCGTTTCCTTTGTCATATTGGATTAGGTTTAGACCCACATGGAGAAGTACTATAAATACTTCGTGTTAGTGAACTACGTAAATCGTGTGTCGTGTTGCAATGCTCTATTTATATGTTGTTGTTTTTCTAGTTGTATTTTTAATGACCCTAGTGTCATTATGAACTTATGAATTTCATTATGGATTTCTAGCGAGTTCGGGGTCGATTGGACGAAGATCGGGCGCGAGGCAAGTCAATCGTCGGTCGCCGGCACCGTTCTTCCGTCGTCGGCTAACCTCCCGTCGCCCTCAATCGTCGGAAAACAAGTAAGTTTACTTTTTCCGGCCAGTTTTCCAGTTTTCCGGCGAAAAACACGGAGGGCCGAAAAAAAATTGCGGCCCGAACGTCGCCGAGCCGAAAAAAATTTGTGGCCGGGACGACGGCCGGCCGAAAAATTCTTTCGGCCCGGCGACGCCACGGCCGCAAATTTTTTTCGGCCGGCCGACGAACACGCCGCCGAAAAATTTTTGGCCGGCGTGTTCGGCGACCGGCCGAAAAAAATTCTTTCGGCCCGACGTCGCTCCGGCCGCAAATTTTTTTCGGCCGGCCGACGCACACGCCGCCGGAAAATTTTTGGCCGGCGTGTTCGGCGACCGGCCGAAAAAAATTTGCGGCCGTGGCGTCGCCGAGCCGAAAGAATTTTTCGGCCGGCCGTCGTCCCGGCCACAAATTTTTTTCGGCTCGGCGACGTTCGGGCCGCAATTTTTTTTCGGCCCGCCGTGTTTTTCGCCGGAAAACTGGAAAACTTACCGGAAAACTGGAAAACTGGCCGGAAAAAGTAAACTTACTTGTTTTCCGACGATTGAGGGCGACGGGAGGTTAGCCGACGACGGAAGAACGGTGCCGGCGACGGAGGCACTGGGAAGGAAGGGAAAATTCAAAATTTAAATTTTTTTTTTTTACCGGCGACGTAGGCACTGGGAAGGAATAGAAAATTCAAATTTTGAATTCTTTTTTTTTTTTTTTAGTTGGCGGCAAATAGCAATTTGATTGGCGGCAAATAGCCGTTCACAAATTTTTCCCCCAGAAAATTTTGAAATCCAATAGATCATGATTAAATCGTTCCTTTTATGCAAAAATTTCCGAAAATGACTAAACAACAAAAGAGATACCATATGGTATGGAGTTGGTAAAGAGAGGGATAGGAAAAAAAAATTTCTCAAAAAATATTGAAAATGGATATCATTTTGTCGAGCACAACGAACTCGTTCCATCCGTGCAAAAAAAAAATTGAAATCCGAGTTAGAATGAAGAAGATATGATCCAATTAAGAAAACTAGGGAAAATAAATTTCTTTAATTCTCCACCTTTAGATCTGCAGCCACTTAAAAGAAGGGTCCAGATTTGGTTACTCACTGTTACTCACCCTATCTTGAGCCACTGTAGAATACAAAAAATCTGGCCTTATTTATTAGGTAGTTGGTAACCGCCATAGGCTTATGTGGTTCTCATTTTTTGAGTTTTCTGTACCACAACTAACACCTAACCCAAACCACTTCAACACCCTTCTACACTTACACACACATAGTCTAGTTCTAGGGTGTTCTGATTTTTTTTTAGTTTATTATAATTAAACTTTATTATTTCAATAGTACTACCAATTGATCACGGCAAGTTCCTCGATGAGGACAGCCGAACCCTAGCCGAGTGCGGAATCCGGTACCAATTCGCGACAGTCCATCTCCTTCCATGGCTCCTCGGCCGCGGTGAAGGGAAGAAGAGGAAGAAGAAGGTGTTCAACATGCCCAAGAAGAAGAAGAAGGACAAGGACAAGGAGAAGCTCCCCGTGCTGAAGCTTTACAAGGTCGTGGGCGGCGGGGATGAAGAGTGCCCGAAGTGCGGACCTTGTAAAGCTTGAGCACGTGGAGGAGCTTCGGGGTGGTCTTAAATTGTGGGTCAAAAGAGTGGGTGGCGGCGGAGGGGATGTCAAGAGGGGCCAAGATGGTGAACTGCTGGCGGAGGGAGCTGCCGCTGTTTGGGGGATTCTTCAATTCCTCTCGGGGAAGAGGAATAAGAGAGCTTTAGTTGTTGTTATGGTTGCTACATTGGGTTGTTCTTTTAATTAATTTATACATTTCGGACATAAATTATTAAAACTAAAATTATGAGTAAAGGAAGGGCAATTGGGTCATTTCCCAATCCATTTAACGGCCACTTACTGATAATTAGTCTGAAGGGTAAATTTGTTATGTTTTATATTACAAGGGTCTGTTTGTGAAAAGATTTAATAGAGCGGTACGTTTGTTACTTATAATAGTAGAGGGATACAAAATGCTATTAACCATTAACTAAAAGTACCTATTTTGGGTGAAATGAAAGAGTTAATGTCATGACTATTTTCTGCGGATCGAAAAATAGGAGGATTCGACAATTCAAGAAACGAAAGCGCACACACACGACACACGATTTACCTGGTTCACTAACACAATGTGTGTTAGCTAGTCCACGAGCAGGAGAGAACCAGTTTCACTATACTTCGAGGAGATATAGATTACAAAGGAGTATGAGAAGTATTTATAGTACTTTTCTAGATCTAACCCTAATCCAATATGGTAAATGAAAAGTAGTTACAGACCAAGCCCAACGAGACCCCCATAACTTCCAGTCGTAGCGGCTGGTAGTCCGATTCAAGTCAGATTAACAGTAACCGGTTAGTGTAAGAGCTCTAAAGTTAAATGCATGTACTCATGTGGAGTAATCTAAAGATGGTTGACTTCTCAGAAAGTCACCATAATACACTCTTAAGAAAAACTATTCAGGGTAAATCCAAACAATATCTTGATCATTGGTTGAGGTATTACAATTCTGCTTTAGCCGTTGATCGTAGGGGTCGTTTGGAGAACGGGATGTAAGGCGTGGATTCATTGAATTCATAGATTTTGTAGAAAGTTATGTTTTTTTGTTGCTTTTTGTATTGTGAATTTTAGTTTTAGAGATTTCAAATCTCTAAAATCTACGGATATCAAATCTCTCATAATCAGAGAGATTTATATCTTGATTCGTGATGTTTATTTCTCCTACTTTTTTTCTTCCTTTTATTTATTTATCATATTAAATATATTTATCAGCAAAGTTTTTTTAATATTTCTCGAACCAATCTAATATTTTATTAAGGATAAACATGTTATTTAATATAAAATTAAATATTTTTATTTTCATTTAATGTTAACAATCAAAGTTACCAAATAATAAACATTTTAAAAACACATCGAGGTTCTGGTTCAAGTTTCTCAGTTTGGCAATTCAATATTCTTGTTTCAGTTTCCATATCTCGCGACGAGCACTTGGGTCTTCGAGGGAGGACCTTAACACTATCAGAACGTTCCCCTCTTTCTACGGCGCTGGACGCCGGGGATTCAACCACTAGATTTGCATCTGGCTTCCCTTCCCATCTGGGTTAAGATTGCAGGTATACCGCTGGAGTATCACACAACCGATGGATTGAGCCGTATCGCTAGTGTCCATGGAGTACCTCTTTGGATGGATCAGGCTACCAAGAGGGGGGCAAATGTCGGTATGGCTAAGATCTGTATTGAGCTGCGGGTGGATTCAACTTTTCAGGATTCTATTCGGGTTCAACCAGAGGGCGAGGTGGGTTTTAACCTATATGTGGAATATCTTCATCTCCCTCCTAAATGTCTCTAGTGCCAAGTCTTTGGGCATTCCCAAGGTAGTGGGGAAGAGTGCAGAGTACCTGAGGAAAAAGGCACTACTTGGCAGATGAAGCCAGTTGGAGAAGGTGATAAGCTATCTCCTCCAGCTTCTCTAGAATCTCCAGTCAGGGTGGTTTTCAGCACTGATGCAGCCACATCTGGGGGGTTTCATGTTGTCTTAGGGGCTCAGGGTTCAAGTTTGGGGGCTTGTGTGGAGTCGCTCTCTATGGGTACTGACAAGGGTAAAGCAGTTGTGGATACGGTAGCTGTTGATGCAGAGTCTAGTCAAGGTGTGGTTGGGGTTGCCAGTATTTCTCATTCTCAGTCACGAAGCATGTCAAAGGCTAAAGCTCCACCTCCTCGTCGTTGGCGTGGGAGGGGCAAGCGTCGATGATTCTGCTTTCATGGAATGTCAGGGGTTTCAACACTCCTTAGAAGCATAAGTGTATATATATATATATATAGTGAACTAAATAAACATAAAGTAGATTTTGTTGCTTTGTTAGAGACTAGAGTATTAAAGGAGAATTATGATCCTATAGTTAAAGGGCAGTTTAAAGATTGGGAAGTTATGGATAATTACTCAAAGTCAGCTTCGGGTCCGGTCTGGTTGCTATGGAGGAATGGTCTGTAGGTTACAGACTTGGAGTCTGGGGAACATTTCCTTCATGTGAAGGTTTCAACAAAGGATGAAGTTCTGATAGTTACTATTGTTTATAGTCCAAATAAAAATTTGCAGAGGGCTCAGCTTTATAAGGATCTATCAGTTTGTCAAAGGGCTGATATTCCTTGGGTAGTCTTTGGTGATTTTAATGCCATTACTGATGTCAATGAGGCATCTAATACTGTGGTAGTGAATCAGATCATGATGGATTTTCGACACTGGATTGATGAAATGAAACTAGTAGATCATAAGGTCTCTGGTTCATGGTATACGTGGTGAAATAAGCAGAAATCTAATCCTATTGCGAGACGTATAGATAGGGTCTTAGTTAATAGCCCTTGGTTAGATAGTTTTCATTCCAGTGCTGCTAGAACGTTGAGCCCTGGTGTCTCTGACCATTGTGGATTATTGTTATTGACATCTAATGGCTTGAAGAGTCTGCCAAAGCCTTTCAAATATTTTAAGTTCTGAAGTTCTCACCCTACTTACTATGACCTTTTGAAATCAGCTTGGGAGGATTCTGGCCTGGAAGTGAATGATCCTTTTGATAGACTATAGATCATCTGGTGGTGGAGGATGGTTTAGTGATTACTGATGTAGAGCAAATGGGGAGTGTTGTTGTTGATTTCTATAAGACCTTGCTTGGCAAAGTTAATATGGATATTCAGGAGCAGCCTGTTGAATTTTATGAAGCTATGCTCAGGCACAAGTTACCTCCAGAAGCTGCCAGGGAGTTACAAGGGGAGGTTACTCGTGAAGAAATAAGGTCTATCTTTATGGAGATGGCATCAGACAAAGCCCCAGGCCCTGATGGATACCCTGCTGATTTCTATAAGGCAGATTGGTCTGTTGTGGGTAAGGATGTAGAGGATGCACTCCTTCACTTTTTTGGGACAAGTATTCTGCGTAGGAAACTTAATTCTACTATCCTTTGATACCTAAGCTAGTAAATGTTGAACATATGAAAGACTTCCGCCCCATATCTTGCTGTAATGTTCTGTACAAGGGCATTACAAAGGTACTAGCAAATAGATAAACAAAGTTTCTCCCACTCCTTATTAGTCAGTCACAATCTGCTTTTATCACTACAACAAATTCAGCCTATTATGACGATGCAATTTTGTCATATTAGATAACCATTTTGTCATATTAGTTATAATATGACAAAAGGTGTTGTCACAAAGGTTTGTCATTTCATCGCCGTCAAGATAGGTCAAATGTGACAAAAATTTAGAACAAGGTTGTCACATTTGCTTTTAGTTTACTGTGACAAACAGAGATGTTATGACGACATATTTTGTCATTACAGTTGTCATAATCTGGTGATTTTGCGAGAATTGTTCTTCATATTACACGATTATATTTTGTCATAACTGTATATTGTGACGAGTACATTTTGCCACAATTGTTTATCATGACAACATTATTTTGTCGGGTATAGGTCGTCAGGAAAGGTGGGTTATTTGTCTCATGTCTAATATGACAAGAGAACAATTCGCCATGCAATACATAATGTGACAACATGACATTTTTGTCACACTCGACCTTCTTCAAAAATTTCATAGTTTGATATTTGTTTCCTGCACTGCAACTAGATAATGGAAAGATTACCAAAGATCCAAAAATTTACAACCATTTCCATAGCAGTCTAGCTCCTTGTTCAGCATAACCAAACATTCTAAGATGTTCACCATGACACTAAACATTCTAACTCCTTTGTGGATCTTGGGTAGAGGTGGCAATTTCAATCCAATCCACCAATCCAATCCATCAATCCATTAAAAATATCCACCTAATCCAATCCATTTAAATCCAATCCATTTTATCCAAATCCAATTGGATTGGTGGATTCATGGATTGGATCCATGGATCATTGGCAAATTACGGTTTAGTACCTATAATTTTTATTTTTTACATTTTGGTACCTAAAATTTAATTTTTTATGCGAAAAATATCATTGGAAAATTACGTTTTGGTACCAAAAAATTTTCATTATGACATTTTAGTACCTAAACTTTTTACATTTTACATATTGGTCCTTGGTTGAGGATGTCATTTGGATTCATGGATAATCCACCAATCCACTTGATCCAATCCATGAATCCACCAATCTATTAGATCCATGGATCCACCAATCCAATCCATTTGCCACCTCTAATCTTGGGTTCTCCTTCGGTCCATACTTCACCTTTTTCTTCAGGACCTTCTGAACAATCTCACGACCTGATACAAGCTTCCCCTCTGTTTTTGCTTCTATCCAAATATATAGCATCACAAGGCTTCACAGTGAATATGCTCAGTAATGAAGCTAATGGTTTTCACACTTTCGGAAAATGCTATCCTGTGCCAGAAAAATTCAAGTCAAAATGTAAACCATGTTCTCAGTTTCTCTAAAATTTAAGTAAAAATAAAGTTAGTACCATGTATGCTCTCCTTCCTCAAAAGACAAAACTAAGTAACCATGTTCCAAAAAGATAAGAGTCACACAAGTTACAGAATAAAGAACAATCAGATAGTGGGAAGACAAAGACAACCCGTTAGTGGGATCTCTCCCTGTATTTCATTTACCATACTCGCTCCTAGACAAAGCTAGGAATTAGAACACACCAAATAAAAGAAACCACAAAAAATTACAGGGTGTCGTTACCTTCATAATCATCGTTGTAGATATCCCTTTGCCTCCAGAAACCTCCACCTATGCACATGTCGTTATCACTTCCATCACTTACCACCACCTCCCACTAGCAATGGTCGTAATAACCTTTTCGACCTTATTCTTCTGATTCCCCACTACAATACACCCGCCTCATGAGCTCCTTCCTGATTTCTCCGAATCCTAGTAGATTAAAGCCTAAATCGATTAAGTATGCAATTTTTCTACCTGAATCATCAAATACATCGAGAGATTTAGACAATGGATTAAGAGGTTCTTGATTGTGGATTCTAGGGTTTCAAGTTCACCCCACACAAGACTAGCGCAAAGAAGTGGAGGCGAGAGTCAGGGGGTTCGTACCTTCACTCACAACCTTCAAATTGGGGTTTTTTTGGAAATCGTTTGATTGGATAATAAAGGGAACCTGAATGAAGAGGAAAATAAATACTGAATCATGAAGTGTAGAATGGGTAAATGAAACAAATAAATAGGGCAGAGTACGCTTTCGGAGCGGGAGGAAATAGAAGCCACCCACTTATAGATCTGGAAATCGGGCCTCCATCTCTGGCGCCAGCAGGGAGGGAGTGCTGAGGAAGCAAATGTAGCGAGGGTCTGGTCAATGCCTTGCTCTAGCACCGGAAGAAGGGAATCGCAATCGATTCGCTATCGATTCAGCTCTCGGTCAGTAGCTTGATCTGGGAATGGCGGCAGGGTTGGAGACTGAGAGGCAGGGCGAGGCATACCTCTTACATCTCTTTAGTTTGACAAGAAAAAGAAAGAAGAAAAATAGAAGGCGGAAGAAGAAAAGAAGTAGCAGTGGGGAAAGGGATCAATAAATTAAATGGATATTAATTAGGGGCAGGTGGGTGGTTGATTTGATTTTTAATTTTTTCAATTGCAGGGGAAATGTGGGTGGAAGTAGAGAAAATTTTTTGGTGGTGGGGTATGGTCAAATTTTGGGTGGGGAAATGTCGTTTGGGGGACTGAAAAAAAAAAGTTTGAAATTTTCGTTGGGGGAGAGGGAATTTCAAGTTTTGGGCGGGCTGAAAATTGGGGTCTAAAAATTGGAAGGTATTGAAAAGTGGACAGTTAAAAATTGGGTGGGACTAAAATTTGGGTGGGGGAAAGTCGGTCGGGCCGATTGTTTTAAGTCTAACACGAGGTTTCAGTCTAATACAAGCAAATATGACGAACATGTCTTTTGTCAAAAACGAAACCACTATATTATGACGAAAATGTCTTTTGTGAAATCCAAAAATCACTATATTATGACGAACATGCCCTTTTGTCAGCTCGCTGTGGGATTATTGCTATCTATTGTGACAAAATACTGTCATTTAAACAATTCAGGAAGGCATAATATGACAAAAGCTACTATGACGATATAATTTGTCACTTTTGTGTCTCTTACATCCCGATATGGGATGCCTATTTTGACAACTTAATTGTGACACAGAATATTTGTCACATTACTCACTTTAAATGACGAACTATTTTGACAAGAAGAAACTTCTCACTATTGAGTATCTTACATCCCGATATGGGACGCCTATTTTGACAAAATTAATTGCGACACTAAATATTTGTCACATTACTCACGTTAAATGACAACTTATTCTGATAAAATTCTATTTGTCACATTAAGCATACCAAATAGGACATATATTATTTTTTTCATATCACAGTACTTATTGTGACCAACAGAAAATGACAATAAATTTTTTGTCCTAATAGGCAGAATTTGTTGTAGTGTATAAAAGGAAGATTAATCTGTGATAACATTCTCATGGCCTCTGAGTTAGTCAAAGACTATAATAAAACATCTATTGCTCCTAGACGTGTAGTCAAGATTGACTTGATGAAGGCGTTAGATTCAGTTAATTGGTCTTTCCTATTTACTATTATGACTGCTAAGGGTATTCCAGATTGGTTTGTTCAAAGGGTTAGGGTGTGTGTGTCTTCTCCAATGTTCAGTGTTTGTTTGAATGGGGGGCTGTGTGGTTATTTCCTAGGGGAGAAAGGCCTTAGATAGGGTGATCCTCTTTCACCATACTTGTTTGTCATATCCATGGAGGTCTTCTCTTGATTATTGGCTAAGGCAAATTCAGTGGGGACTATTCCATATCACCCCCGTTGCAAAAGTCTGGATATCTCTCATTTAATATTTGCAGATGACCTTCTTGTGTTTTCTGATGGCTCATTTGAGGCAGTTGAGGGGATCAAGTGTTTGCTAGGGGATTTCTATTCTCTCTCGGGGTTGAAATGTAATGCAGATAAGAGCCAGGTCTTCTTTTGGGGGAATTCCAGCAGAGGAACATAAGATAATTGCAGGTTCCACAGGATTCCCACTTGGTACATTCCCAGTTAGGTACTTGGGAATGCCACTTATGTCTGGAAAATTGTCTAAGACTGATTGCCAGGTATTAGTGGAGAAGATCACAACAAGGATACGTGGATGGAACTCCAAATCCCTAAGCTATGATGGTCGTATTCAACTAATCTCTTCTGTTATCTCAAGTGTTCTTCAGTATTGGATGAGTGTGTTCCTTCTTCCTCAGAGTGTGTTGAAGGGCTTTGAGGCTATCTGTAACATGTTTTTATGGGGTGTGGTTAATAATGGTACACGAGCTAAGGCTTTGGTAGCATGGGAATATGTTGTTGCACTAAAGGCAGAGAGGGTGGTCTTGGAGTGAAGGATTTCAGAGTTTGGAATCGTGCCTGTGTTATAAGACACATATGGGATATCTTTGCTGGCAGTGGCTCTCTTTAGGTTGCCTGGATCAGGAAGTATAGACTCAGGTCCAAGTCTATTTGGGAGGTTTCTCCCAACCTCTATTGGTTTGTGGGTCTGGAAATGCATACTGAAGGCAAGGGAAGAAGCTCAATAGTTTATCACGGGTGCTGATGTGACTCTGCGCTGGTTAGGACAGCCTATGCCTAGGTTCTCTGTGAAGAAGGTTTGGCTTTCTATCCGTGCTTCTAAACATGAAGTTCCATAGTCTAAGCTGATTTGGGGTAAGTTTTTTATTCCTAAACATGGCTTGATCTTATGGCTCATTATGTTGGATAGGCTCTACATTCGTGATAAACTTGCAGTATGGGGGAAGACAGAAGACATTGCATGCATACTCTGTCCAGGAGGGGTTGAATCTCGAGATCACCTATTCACTTCTTGCTCATATACTGCCTATGTTTTGCAGCAAAGTTTGATTGACTTCCTTCCTCCTCTGTATTCAATACTTGGCATGATTCTATGTTATGGGCTGTAAGGTTCTGGGATGGTTCTACTGTCAAACGAAAGCTTGGTAAGCTAGTATGGAGTATGATGATGTTATATATGGAGAGAGAGATGTCGAAGATGTTATGGCACTGGTTTGCAGCATCCTTCCCAGTTAGTGACCCGGATTCGATCGGAGGCTGGTTTTTTTTTATTTTTATTAATAGTAGGATAGATACGCAAAATCTTTTGCCTAGTTTCCAATAGTATAGAAACTGTTTCTTTTGCAAGTTTTTATCAGTTGATGGTTTGTAATCAGTATACATTGTATCTTTGAGAGGATCATTAGTTACAAGGGTCCTAGCACTTAATGCATTTCTGATTAACCATAAAAAAAACATTTTAAAATTTATTTTCAACCATTCGAAAGATTAGAAATTTTAGATTGTTGACAATCTATTAGTCTTGTTGTTAGTTTGCTAATGTACAAAGTGGGATTCTTTCTGGTTTGTTTTTTTTTTTTTTTACTGCCAATCAGTTTGATCGGTGGCTTCTTAGAAATTTACGCATTCATTAGGAAAAAAACATAATGTAAAAATTGTATGAAATCCAAACCTCTTATAATAAAATAAAATAAAAAAGCCAATTGAGAACAGTCTCCGCATAAACTCAAAATGCCACATAATTAGGGGTGGCTATTTGGACCGGGACCGGATTAAAAACCGGAAACCGGACCGTATAACCCGGACCGAGACCGGACCGGGACCGGATAGTAAACAATCCAATCCAATCTTTGGGCTTAGATTTGAGGTAAAAAACCGGATAAAGACCGGATAAGAGAGCTCAACACCCAAAACTTAAGGGTAATTTGGATAAACGGTCACAAACCTTTGCACTTAGTACAAAACTTAACCAACTCCTCACCCTTTAAGGCCTTAGGCCACTCAAATCCCAAAATCTCAATGTAAAATCAAGACTGAATTGGGACCGGACCGGATCAAAACCGGACCGGATCAAGACCGGACTGTATCCAATCCAATCTTTGGTCCTTATATTTTCAAAAAGACCGGACTGGACCGGATCAATTTGGGCCAATTTAACCGGACCGGACCGTATTGCCACCCCTACACATAATACGAACTTCATCATTGCCCACATATATAGTCATGACTCATGGGTACATATCCGACCAAACGACACAGCGGGAAGTACAAACTTCTACGTAGAAGTATAGATTTGAGAACTTAAGTCTCGTTGTTCACAGCCAGCATGGTGTTGAGGTTCATCGGTGACATAACCTCTGGAGTACCGTCCAAGATGAACTTGAGAATTGCCGCAATAGCCCTCTCCGTGGGATGGTAGGAATCCCAAAACACATATTCGTCACGATTTGGGCACAGATTCGATGCTGGTGTGCATTGTCCTTCTCCGTTATAAGAACCTTGCCCGCAACAAGCTACTCTCCATTCGGTGTACCCTAGCCAACATAGTCATCATGTAATTAACATTGTATTATTCGTCAACATAATATGTGACAAGCTGGATATAACTAACTATACATAAACATAAATTGCGTACTGTAAGCATCGCGATTGTTGGGGAAGTTGTAGCCGATCATATACGTATTGGCAGCAACGTAGACATCCGTTTGAAGCTGACTGTTCATCTGCTGAGTTACCCGAGCCAGCTCCGAGTTGAAGAACAATGCAGCATTCTCGATCTCCGATGTGCACTCCCCAACGACGTCGTCCCGGCCCGTCGCCGCCAGCTGAGCCGGCACGCATCCGATGTGGCCCGGCCCAATCACCAGAACACGGCGTGCCCCTAGCTCGAACAACCTCTGCAGGATTTTCACGTACTCGGAGATCAGGTAGTCGATGAATCCGCGGGGAGTGTATTGTCTGGCACGTGCCGAGAAAGGGAGCGTGAAATAGTTGCGGACGAAATCTTCGGTGCCAAGAGCGAGGAGAACCAGCGCCCGGTTGACTAGTCGCCGAGCCTGTTCCGTCCCGCCGACCAGTGCTGCCAGCTGGGCCTGGTATCGCTCGAAGGATGCCAACTGCTCGGGCATCCTTATTATGTTCCCCTTCACTAATACAGTATGTTAGTTAATTCACAGATAAAAGAGACAAATTTCAATAAATTCGAGGAGATTCACGTCACGTGTACTCCAGTCCACCTCAGATAATAATCAGTCTTGAATTCATAACAACATTTTATTCGGAATGAACCGCGGAAGGAAAGAGAACAAGTGAGAGATGCGTATAGATCGAGGAGAGCTTACTAGCTCACTGCCAGTGTCATTCAAGATCCCAACTCCGCCGGAAGCGAAATTGGCACCGTAAAGCAGCCTTTCCCCTTGGAATTGTGGGCTCAGGTGCGGCGATGGGGGCTCTGGCAGCTCAAGTACTTCACCTGCAGCGGCACCACATCCCATAACAATAACATATTTATCTTAACACGATTTTAACATAGCACATATATATATATATATGTATCTCATGCATGCATTAATTAAAAGCACGTACTGATGTAATCGGCCATGTTGCGGCCATTTGAGAAGCGGCCGGCGGGGCGGCCGGTGGGAGAATCGATCCCATAAGGAGGCGAGTCTGCGCGAAACGTGGTGTCCAAATAATTGTTGTTTCCACTGTCAACTAGCGAATCGCCAAACACCAACAGGGGAGAAGGCGTACTGGAGGCCTCCTCCTGATCCTGCGCTACCACCCTACAGTAGCGCGATATGGCTAAACCCACCACTGCTAGAATTACCAATATCTTCGCCATGAGAGAGAGAGAGAGAGAGAGAGAGAGAGAGAGAGAGAGAGAGAGGAGCTCGATGGAGAGAAGAAACCTAAGAGAGGAATGATATCAAGCTAGGTGCTCTTCTTTAGGGGCTTATATAATGCGTGCATGGAATGGAGTGAGATTATGAATGACCATGGGCAGTTTGATGGCAAGTATTTTCTCATGTTGAGTTCAAGCTGGGTATTTATTATAGGTGTGACTCGGTGCATGTCGAGCCATATGAATATGTAATTTAAAAGGAAAATATTAAAAATATTTCTCTTTATCATAAAAATCTAAGAAACAAACTATAATATGATATATGTAAATAAATTGTTCAAAAAATTAGGTTCTAACTTGTTTACACCTTCATTATATCTAAACTATATATGAGATAGTAAAAGTATTTTAAGTAATTTGAATAAAAATATATGTAATTTAGGTTCAAATGGGTCATGAATGAGGCATGTAAGATCGAGTAAAGTACCCATCTCTCTGCATACTTACCAGAGATATTATCTACTTCGCTCGAATCAAGTCAAATAGGTCGGCTAAAACGAATCATGTCAAAATTGTCATCCTAAGTGATACAACAGTGAAAGGATTTGTTTGGAGAAACAAAACCACTTTAGATGATCGGTCAAATCAGTTTACATTGGTCCAATAACGCAGCTGACTGAAAGCTTTCCTTTTTCATTAATTGCAGTTTCAGTTTCTTAATCATCTTTAATAATCTGTTCGCTGTAAATTAAATGTGAGGAGGAGTTCCAGCCGTGTGTCCAAAGCACCGCAAGTGACAGAAGAAAAAAAGTGAGTCAGTCAGACAAGATATCTTGGACTACTTGGTGTATTGGGCTGAGTATCAACTAACGCATAGCCCATAGACCCATCGCCAGGGAGTCCACGAGCGAGCCCACGAGTGCCTCATGCGACCCATGTAGTCTTCATGTTGTCCACGTCCACGGAGGATTTATATTTTTTTCCCTCATCTGCTAGGGGTACCGGGTCCCCGAATTTTCCCAAACCTCAAATCGAAATCGAACCGAATTATAGTTTGATTCGGTTCTCGGTTTTGAACGTAAAAACGAATTTGAGCGGCTACTTGTATCTTCTCACTTTTAAATTATTTGTCACCCATAATATAAATAATAAATATGCAATTATATGCATCACCAATGATAAAATCAGACTTTTCAAGACATAAGTCATAAAATATTTCAAATATTTAAGTATAAAAACAACTACAAACATAAAAAAAATCATCATTTAGAGCTTGCAATTATAGTATTTCGGTTTTTCGGTCGGAAATTCGGAATTTCGGTTGAAAGAACCCTGATTTCCGAAATATCCATATTTTTCTTTTGAATTCCGAACCGAATAGCATTATTTTTGTTTCGTTTTCAATTCTGAAAATAGAAAGTGGTAGCTTCCTGTTGTTTTTGGAAAAGACAAAATGTTGTTTCCAGTAATTTCCAACATTTATTTTCTCATTAAAAAAATTCTTATCGATGATGTTAAATATGTAAATGACATTACTCACAATTATTTTTTAATATTTTTGTATTAGTGCTTGATTTTTTTTACCAATGTTTCTCTTTTTATTTATATATAAATTTCATCTTATAGACTATTTGAAACCAAAATAATAAAGATGACTAATAAAAAGTGCTCTTTTCTCTGACTTCTCTCTTCTTTCACTTTCTAGACGGTCTAAACCCTAAATTGTCGCGGCGGTGATGGCCGTCCCGGCCAATTCACCATAGGCCAATTGGGCTTGGGTGTTTGGAGTCGGTGAAGGGAATCGCTTACAGTACGTTCCTCCAACTTTAGTAGATGGAGAGTTCCTCCATCAGCTCTTGCAGCAAGAGTTCTTCTCAATGCTCGTGGTCAAGCTTTGGTTATTCCTTCTTCCCCTCCAAAGAAAGCGGGGAGAATGACACAAATTTTGTGTTTTTTTTTAAAATTCACCACCAATATGGTGGATTAAAAAGTATCGACAAGTATATTGTATTTTGGAGAAAAAGTTAGGCGAGACCACCTGAGACTGAGGTGTCACCGTCTGAGACTCAAGTGAATAGGTGGGAAGAAAGTCCCAGGTGTTGGCACCTGAGACTGAGGTGGCACCGTGAAGAACAATCCTAATTATAACCCTGAAACCCTAAACCCTAAACCAGCGAATTTCGTATCAATTATTCACACCATAAATGGCTAATAGGTAAGAGACATATTTATTTTTTTAATTATATTATTCAAATGCTATTATGATTGTGTTTAGTTTAATTAGTGAGTTTTTCTGTAGTGATTTTAGAAGATTTGAACTAGTCGTTCGGTGGAAATCGGAGAAAGTAGAGGATAATTTGGGCGTCAAATTCGTTGGTGGTGGTAGTTTTCAGTTGACGGTTTTTCAAATGTAATAGTTGTGGTTTGAAGTAGTTGTTGTTTTTCTAATAGCTGTTACGGTTTAAGAAGGTTGTTGTTTTTCAAATGTTAGAGTTGTTGTTCTTGGCCAAATTATAAAATATCCGAGTTGTTGTTTGTTATTTGTTGTTCCGAATAGTTATCGCTAATAACATCATACATGAATGTAAAAATAGTTCAAGGAATAGTCCACAAACATAAATAGTTCACATAACACATAAATAGTCCACATACATATCCCAAATAATAATAACATAACAAAAATACAAAAAAACTATAACGACGATCAGCCCCAGCATGATGATGGTAGGCCTACACGGAACAGGGTGCCAGTGAGGTGTGGTACCGACGGCCATCTAGTGGATCAGCATGGTGGTCGTCGTGGTGGTGATCGTTAGAGTTTTTGTTTTGTATTTTTGTTATGTTATTATTATTTGGGATATGTATGTGGACTATTTATGTGTTATGTGGACTATTATGTGGACTATTCCTTGAACTATTTTTACATTCATGTATGATGTTATTAGCGATAACTATTCGGAACAACAAATAACAAACAACAACTTGGACATTTTATAATTTGGCCAAGAACAACAACTACTACATTTGAAAAACAACAACCTTCTTAAACCATAACAACTATTTGAAAAACAACAACTACTTCAAACCACAACTATTACATTTGAAAAACCGTCAACTGAAAACTACCACCACCAACGAATTTGACGTCCAAATTATCCTCTACTTTCTCCGATTTCCACCGAACGACTAGTTCAAATCTTCTAAAATCACTACAGAAAAACTCACTAATTAAACTAAACACAATCATAATAGCATTTGAATAATATAATTAAAAAAATAAATATGTCTCTTACCTATTAGCCATTTGTGGTGTGAATAACTGATACGAAATTCGCTAGTTTAGGGTTTAGGGTTTTAGGGTTTTAGGGTTAGATTAGGATTGTTCTTCGCGGTGCCACCTCAGTCTTAGGTGGTACCACCTCAGTCTCAGGCGGTACCACCTCAGTCTCAGGTGCCAACACCTGGGACTTTCTTCCCACCTATTCACCTTGAGTCTCAGGCGGTGACACCTCAATCTCAGGTGGTCTCGCCTAACTTTTTTCTCCAAAATACAATATACTTGTCAATACTTTTTAATCCGCCATATTGGTGATAAATTTAAAAAAAAACACAATATTTGTGTCATTCTCCCAAGAAAGCGAGGGGTAAGCGTGGTCGTAAATGAGGTTGATGTGCTGGAATCTCAGGGGGTTTAAGTCCCCCTGAGAAGCATAGATATATTAGTAGACAGTTAAATAAGAATAATATAGATATAGTTGCTATATTGGAGATTAGGGTTATTGCTAAAAAGTAAAAATTCTACAAGTATACTTAGTAAGTATTTTAGTCAATGGTTAAATATTGATAATTACTCTCGTTCTCGTGTGGAAGGGGTTGGTTACTGTATAAGGCAGGGTTGCAAGTTACTTTGGTGACAGGAGGTGAGCATTTTATCCAAGTCAAAGTTGCTGGGGAAGAGAGCTGTGTCATAACTCCCGTCTACAGTCCTAATAATGAGCGTCAGAAGTTGTTTGGTGATTTGATGCGGTGCTCTATTAATGATGAGCCAAGTATCCTGATGGGTGATTGGAATGCAACGTACAGTTGAAGCTTCAGAGGCTTCTAACACTAATTTTATCAATCAAAGCTCGTTGGAGTTTCGGTAGTGGATTGGAGATATGTGCCTCTTAGACCATAAGGTACATGGTTCGTGGTTCATATGGTGGAACAAGCAGGAGGCTAACCCAATTTTGTCATCGGTTGGATAGGTTTCTTGTGAACCTACCGTGGCTTTCTACTTTTCCTCATACCACTGGGGGTTGGCGTTGGATTCCAGACCTGAAGTTAAGTCTTTGCCGAAATCATTTAAGTATTTCAATCTCTGGCGCACTCATCCTACTTATATCAGATACTATCACGGGCTTGGGACAAGGAGGTTGAGGGTTCCTCTTTCAGAGTTTTCTATGGGAGACTACGAGAACTCAAGCTTCAACTCAAGAAATTGAATCGTCCTGAGTACTATGATATTTCTGAGCATGCTCGTTTGGCTGAATTAGAACTTGAAGCAGCACAACAAGCTGTTTTAGCTGGTCCGGTGGAGAGCAATGTGAGGAGGGAATTTGAATTGGCTATCTCATGTTAGTAATTGCATGAGGCTGAGGAGAGTTTTTTTCTACAGAAATCTATAGTGCACTGGACATCTTCGGGGGATTTGAACACGAAGTTCTTCCATGCTTCAGTTAAGGCACAGACTCATAAGTTACATATGCACAAGTTGATTGAGGATAATGAGGTTCAGGTTACAGATGTGAAAGAGATGAGTGAAGTTGTTGTTGAGTTTTATGAGAAGCAGTTAGGTAATCCTTAACTATCCATATGATTTCTTTGACCAGCTATTACAGTGTAAGTTAGAGGAAGCTGATTGTGAAATTCTTTTCTCCCCTGTCACTAAGGAAGAGATAAGGAGGGTTTTTCAGGGTATGGGGAAAACAAAGCCCCTGGTCCGTTTCCTGGCAGAATTTAATCAATTGGATTGGGGTATTATTGGTGCTGACACTACAAAAAAGACAGGCAGAAGTGACGAAATCCTTCTTACGACATTGTTTTATGATTGGAAATAACATTTTTTGTGACAAAAGTTTGTTGTCCTCATAAAAACGTAAAATATTTGTGATGAACATCAATACTCGTCAATAATGTCCAAAACTTTCGTCACTAAAAGTCAATTTCACAAATACGAGGAACGCCATCTCAGTTTTACTGAGGACATTTCAACTTTTGTCACAAATACAAATTATTTATGACTAAATTGAAATGAACGTCAGAAATAACATGTTTTTCTGACGCCGAAAAGGAGGGGAAATAACTGAATTTTATTTTCTGGCTTAAGCCTAATTCGATGAGAAGAAATGACTCTCTCACTAGTACTAAAGGCAGACTCAGAGGCAACCGCAGAGACAGGAATAACAAGAATATCTCTTGAAAGCTTGTGTAAGATAGGGTACTTACCCTTGTTTGACTTCCACCAACTCAAAACATCAAAGTCAGGAGATTTTGGCACAATATCATAATCCAAGTATATATCCAACTCTGACCTCACAAGTTTCCTTTTCTTTCGGGAAATTTAGAAGTCAAATTTGCTTTGCAATGACCCCATATCACTAGCACCTTTCTGTTGACAACCCATTTCACCACCTTCTTTCAATTGTTCTTTCTCCCTTTCCTTCTCTTCATATTCCTCCAATAATTTACGACATATACCACGAATCCTCTCCATCTCAAATTCACTATCCGTGCCATATATGTCAGGCAAATAACAATCAAGGACATCCATTTTGAACCGGGGATCAAGTATCGCTGCCACCGCCATCAAAACATGCACGTCTAACCAATATTAATCATATTTTGCCAACATATCAGTGGCCATATGCTCTATTTTCTCAATGCCACAAGTACGCCACTTATTATAGCAACCTTAATCTCACAAATCTCATCAAAACATAAATTTGTAGTAGGATGCTTGGTACCATAAAAAAATTTAGTGGTCTTGTAAAATGTCTCTAGCCTAGTACCGATCTCCTCGATCATTTTCCAATCAAGTTCACTAGGCGAACATTTGTACTTGCGTTCACGACTCTTTAAGGGACCAAAAACTTCCTTATACTTTAAAGTTGTGTTCAACATAAGAAAGGTTGAATTCCAACTTGTTTCACAGTCAAGTTGGGTCGGGTTATGCACCCGTCAGTAACCCAACAGGAGTCGTCGATCTGGAGCGGGGAGATCTAACGGTTGGGGTCGGAGCAGGGTGGGGCAGGGGTATTCTGTTCCATTATTTGAATTTATGTCTTTCCCTCTTTATTCCTTTTTGGTTATTCTCGGCCGAGCTGGAATATGATTTATGAGAGAGAATGAGAAGTAAACAGAGCAATCGAGAGCTTTTCTCCGAAGGATTACGCCATGGCGAGAAGGTCGGTGGAGGACGCGATTCTTAGCTTAATCGGCGGCGGACTTGCAAGTTATTAGTTGTTAGATTTTCTTCTTCTCTTTTCTTCTTCTTGCTCGAGGTTGTGGCGTGATTTTGCTTGTGTTGATGTTTCT